CGGCAAAAACAGGACAGATTCGGCCATCACCCAAATGCAATCTTCCTTCGATTTTTCCGTCGTTTCTAACCATAATCTTTTCATCTACACACATAGCAACCACAATCAAGCATTTACACCTCAAGCCCGCTACCTAGAGGTCACCACAAGACCGCTAGCCTAACATTTAAAGCAATAAAAGTAGATTCCTCAAGTCATCTACCTAATCCATGCTTAGGGTAGCAAACCCTTACAAATAAAGCTCCAATCTTTGAAGAAAATGGAAAGTTTCATTGATGGATGAAGACTACCTCTTAGCTTGTGATGAAACCAGAAATTTGGACTGAAATTCTTCCAAGAAAACCGCAATAAGGTGTCTTCCTCAAAGCTTAAGTTGCTCTCCAAGTGATGTGGAGGTTGTGTAATGATTTGTGGAGGATTTGGAACAAGAATGGTGTAAATGAAGAGAGCTCTTTTTCTTCTTCTTCCTTTGCTGTTTTCAGCCGAGCTTCAAGAGAGAGAAGAGAGATGTTTGTGTATTGTGAAGCTTCTTGGAGAAGCTTGGGTGATTTGTGGCCAAGATTCCTCCAAAAGTCAACTAGGAATAGTGCTCGCGCGCGCATTTCATATCCGTTTTCTCTCGGGTTTGTTTAGTAGTCTAGTATTGATTTCTTAAATCTCCACTTAGCCGCTCCGGCTCAATCTACGCGAACTTCCAACTCGCACGCGATAAAGCGAAACTTAAAAGAAATTCTTGTAACGATAATATAATTAACTAACTCTAGGGTAAATAATTATAAAAATAACTATTTTAAGAATAAAACATGAGTCCTCAAATCTCCAAGACTATTGCACTCTCGAATCAAATATTTATCTCGAAAAACGTGTATTTGTTATTTCTCTCTAAATGAGCTGTAGAAAAATTAAATTTGCTAACCGTTTTAAAAATGTAAGCGAGACATTGTTTCATGTAAATGGATTTAAAATGGTTGAAATAAATTATTCGGAGAAAACGGGTGAATAAATATTTAAATAAGCCAGTGAAATAGAATTAAAGTAAGAAAAAATTTGGGTCCTCACACTACAAGCACCTGGAGTAATTTTCATAGCTTGTTTTACTAAGGTGGAGAATCCCTTAGCACAAATGAGAAAAAAGGTAGGGAGATAAAGGATCTCAATGCTTAAGTCCTCTAGTAGGTTTAATGATTTTCCCCCATTAATGTTAATCGAATAGGTAACACTAGTGATACACACCATGATCCAGTGAATCCACCTATTACAAAATCCCATTTTTTCCATAACTTTTGTTAAAAAGATCCACTCAACCCTGTCATAAGCCTTAAACATATCTAATTTGATATCCATATAACCATCTTTCCCAGTTCTCTTATTCTTTAGGAAATGAATGCTTTTATGTGGAATCAGAATATTATCTAGAAACTATCTTCCAGGAGCAAAAGCAGATTGGAAGGACTAATGTAGAGATGAAGCACTTATTTGAATCTGTTGATCAAAACTTTGGATATGATTTTCTAAAGGACATTACATAGACTTATAGGTCTGAATTCAATAATCATGGAAGGGGATTCAACTTTGGGAATTAAGCTTATCAGTCTCTCATTAACAGATTTGAGTAAATGACAAGAATGGAAAAAGCTCTGAACAGCACTAATTACATCTACTTTAATCACAGACCAGAATTTTTTAAAAATATAAGTGACATAACGTCTGGTCCCAAAGACTTGTTGAGATGCATTGAGAAGACTGCCTAACTGATTTCTTGCTCTGTCATTGGTTTAGTCAAATTGCTATTCATCTCAGAAGTTATAGTCTGTGGGATTGCATCCAAAATCTCGTTAAAGCTTTGAGCATCATCGTAGTGAAGATTTGCTGAAAGTAATTCACAATTTCTTATTTTGTCTCCTCCTCATCACAACACCATTCCCCATCTCTCTTCCTCAAAATGCTGATTCTATTCTTCCTACTTTTGCTGGCCACACTTGCATGAAAGAAGCTGGTGTTTTTGCCTCTTTCTTTGAGCCATTTGACCCTAGCTTTTTGGCTCCATTAGATCTCCTCTTGTTTATAAGCTTCACTTAGCCTTTTAGTTAACCCTACCACATGAATCCTTTTCCCTCTAATATTACTCTCCTTTATCGCTTTAATTTCTCTTTTAATCTGGCTTATCAATTTCCTGGCATTGTTATTTAGCGTTTTGTTCCAGTTAAGAAGGGTCATTTTGCACTTTCTGATCTTGCTTTGGACCGTGAATAGTCTGGATCCTCTCTATTCCCCTTCCCAAGCTTCCCTCACAATTTCTCCTATGTCCTTGTGTTGTAGCCATCTTTTATCAACCATAGACCTCTTTTTCCATTTGTTTCCCTAAGGTTTAGCATCCAGGATCAAAATACAATGGTTAGAAGCTTCATTTTCAATATGTATACATTTAGCCTAATGGATAATTTCAGAAACCTCCCGTGAGGTTTCTGACAATTTTACTAGCCTCCCCTAAAGTTTATAAAATTACATAAACCTCCCCTGAGGTTAAGGTTTGATAACAAAATTAGTCGAGTTAGAAAAAGTAACATTAAAAAGTACCTTAAGGAGAGAGATAAAATTTTTATTCCTTAAATACCCCTTATGCATGTATATAAGTTGTATTAGTAAAAGAACAAAAATAATTAAAAGTTAGAAACAATTAATACACACATTTCACCACTTAAAAAATTCACGTTTAATAAATTAGATAACACAAATGAGTAACAAAACTATAAATGATCACAAGATTCAACAAAATTGAATATTCATCTCTTTTGACATGATGTTTGCTATAATTCTTGTAATAGAATAAATTTTTGAATTTTGCCTTTCTTTTCCCTCCTTTCTCCATTAGGTATATCAATTGATGTTATTTTGTAAATACAAGTCATCGTTCATTATTAAAGAAATTTTAATAGTTATTTTCATTAATTACTTACTAATAGTTAATTAGCACTCTAATTACTTAATCATTAGATATTTAGTAAAGGAGAATAGAGGGAAAAGGAAGATAAAATTCAAAAATTGTTTCTGTTCAAAATCACAAGAATCATAGCAAATATCATGTCAAAAGAGATGACTAGTATGTTTTGTTGAATCTTGTGATCATTAGTGTAGTTTTGTTACTTATTTGTGTTGTTTAATTTATTATATGTGATCTTTTTGAATGGTGAAATGTATGTATTAATAGTTTTAACTTTTATTTATTTTTATTCTTTTACTAATACAACTTATATACATGCATAAGGGGTATTTATGGAATAAAAGTTTCATTTTTCTCCTCAAAGTACTTTTTTAATGTTACTTTTTCATCTCTCTCCTTAAAATACTTTTTTTTTAAAAAAAAGTTTCATCTCTCTCCTTAATTGGACTAATTTGTTATCAAAACCTTAATCTCATGGAAGGTTTGTGCAATTTTACAAACATCAGAGGAGAGTAGTGAAATTATCCCTGAACTTGTCCCTGAAATTTTACAAACTCTGAGGTTTTTGAAATTATCCCTTAGCCTTATCCACCTTATCAAGCCATTTCTTAGTTCCAAGAATTCTATCAATTCTCTCTTTTATCTCTCATCTGTCCCAATTATTACATCATGTCCAAGGCACCCCTTTAGACCCTACATCAATGAAATCATTAGTGCTTATGAAAAATTTAAAATCCTTAAAGCTTATATCAGGCCTAATTCTTCCTCTTCTCTTATATATAAGAAGTTACACCCGTGTTATGATTAGTTGTACTAGCAACCAAAGTTTGGTTAGTAGTGCAAAAAAAATAAGCATTCGTACAAATCATGTTTTGGTAAAAAAAGAGTGGTAAAATGATTTTTAAGCGATCTAAAAGAAATTGCTTAACAGGTTTAATAGTGTGTGGATCATAAAAAACAAATAGATGAAGTGGTGAACAAATACTTGAATTCCATTTCGTTCAAAATTCTTTCCAGCTAGACAAAAAGATTGAAGTGTAAATTATTTATTTCTTTTATGTAGAAGACCTTTTAATTTTTGAGATGTTTATAATTTCGATACCAATTTGTTTTATCAATACAAGTGAAATATTTAGTCAACTAGTAACATCTTACACGCCCTGAAAACTTTCGAACGTGTAAAATTTGTTCAACAGAACAGAAATGATGTTTACTTTATAGAGGTATAGAAAAATACAAATGTTAATCATATTTTAAATGTAAACAATTTTCAAAGAATTATCAACATCTTAACTCTCCTATCCTATCTTTTACCCTGCCATCTAAATTTCTACTAAGAAACTGAGATGGCTTGTAAAAAGAAACAAAATAATTCTTCATAAAAGTGAGGAACGGATAGTGTTTACCATCTTAAAGTCGGAACTACTCTAAGAACGCGCAACAATTAACCTGCAATTAAAATAAATTGTTTGAATTTGAGAAAAGAAATGCAATTCTTTCTTTCTGCTTAGCGTTGGCTTACTTAATCTAGTAATTAATTGAAGGCATGATAGTCATGATGACAATGGCGAACTTGCTTTACATATTACTAGGAGAAGTTCACCGTGCGAAAAATGCCCAATTATACCCATTTAATTTGCAAATTATTATATTGCGAATATGAATGACAAACAAAATATTTAGAGTTATGTTCTTAGGAAGCATATAATTAGTTTTAAATTGTAAAAATATGAAATTCAAAAAATGAAAGTTATAATGCAATGCCTTTAAAAAATGTAATAAGACATAAGAAATACATGATTAAAACATATAAAACTTAGCCATTGATCCAATATACAAATTATGTTACGCTGTCCACAACATTTACAAATGAAATCTCATTCTTAAAAAAGCATCTACATAGACATATTTGCATTAGTTAACATAATTGAAAACTCTTTCTCATCATATCTCGTCTTTTGAGTTTTTGAGGAAAGCAACCTCACAATTTCTGCACAGTTTTGCTGCTAGAGAGGTTTTAAAGCATTGTGGAATAAGACAAATCAAAAGAAAAATAAAATCATCCAAAAAGCACCAAGGATATGCATTATAAAGGAACCTCTTTTTTTTTTTTTCTTTTTGTTTTTGGGTACATTGAAAGAGGTCATAACCTCTTAAACAGAAACAAAATAGGATATGCAACAACTAACACGTAAGCTTCCAACAAATCTCACATCTCTACGAGAATGTCATCAAGAACTTGTAACTCTAATGGACCATAGATGCTGCTGCGCTTGGCCAACCAATTTGCATATTGATTGCATTCCCTTCAAATATGACTCAGTTAGCAGTCCCAGCTCCTTTGCTTTAACTCTCATATCTGAATAAGAAGATTGTGATCTGGTGAGTTAAACTTTTTACTAAAGCTGCTACTACTGCCCTAGCCGGAACAACTAAAGAAAGGAAGGAATTTGTTGGGCATGCAAGAAAAAGACCAATCAAATGGATCTACATATATTGTGCAACAGTAAGGGCATAGATGACTGGAAACATATCTTTCACATCATGCAAGTCAATCTCACAACTATCATTTGGAGCAGTCCCATGACCACCATGCACCGCTTAGTTGTTTCAAAAGATGCAAGCTAAATTACTAAATGAAAATAAGAGGTTTACCACATGCAAAAAACTCGCCAATGGTTTCCAAACAATATTTGCTTTCAGTTTCGACATTATGTACAACTAAAAACTAATTAAATTTAAGTGCAAACATCTGTTCCAAATTCCAACTTGGCACGTTTTCTGTATAGGAGAGCAAAAGAATCAAGAAGATTTCTCAATAAAGCAAGGATAAAAGAAAGTTTCTGAAAATTTTCAACTTAACTTTGATGCTCTTAGCCAAAGGACAACAACACATCAGCAAAATCCACTGAAATAAAATATAGAAGAAACTTTTTCATGAAAGGGAGAGGAAGGAGAGAATATGATTGACCTTTAGAAGAAGAAGGAAGAGAAGAAGATAGCAACAAAGGAAGAATGAAGTAGAAGGCAAGACAACATTGAAAAGGAAAAAAACGAGAAGAAAAGATCTGTCTAGAGCAAGCTATAACCTTGTAAGCAACTCATAAACAAAGATAGGATATGAAGTAATTTTCTTTTATACTGCACGTTGGTTAATATTTACAGCCTCAAAACCAGCCAGAATTCCTCAAATTTAAACAAGTCGGTATCTTATTATTTTCTTCATTAGTAAAAAGAAAACATATAATAACATACTTTTCCATTCCAATCAAATTAATGCAAGGCAAACCACAAAGCAGTCAAGTAATCTGAATTTTCATTATAAACTAAGCAGCCAATATTGAATAGTAAAGCTACAAGTTAGGTTGACACAACTACACAAGCAAATGCCATAATGAGCTTCAGGAGAAACAGAAAGAGACTCGCATGAGAAATTTACGAAGCACTGACAATTATTAGGTTGATACAATTATGGAGAAAGTCAGGGAATGAAATCTGTGAAATCCTTGCTATCAATACATTTTTAAGGAATTCAATCAGACACTCATAATATTATGCAGTAATAATCAGCCTTCGAATTGCAGTAACATTTTTAAGGGAAAACATGACTAACAATTAGCCTTTGAATTGCAGTAATAATTATAATAGTAATAACTATTCTATGCTCAATCGAAAATGCATTTTAAGCATCCAATCAAACTGTTAGTCCTCTTTTACATCATTCATTTAGTAAAATATTTGATCTAAAAGCCTAGAGAATCAGCACAAACTACAAGGTGAGAAAACAGATATATGTCTGGAAAAAAATGAAGCAATATCGATTGATCTCTTTCAACTATTTCTTCATTTTGATAATTATTTGCCTTTTCTTCAACATCCACAGCTTCTAGAGGAATAACTTACATTGTTTAAAAAAAAAAACCTCAATATATGGCTATCAAGGACTATATTAGAATGATGGGCAAAAAACCTCAGCGGCCATTAAACTATTGGCGGGATCATGTTTTGGCCATCAAACTATTTTTTGCCAATAATTGGCCCCTAAACAATTTAATCCGTAAACCCGTGACCATTTCGTCGTTAATTGCTCTTAAGTTCTGAAATTAGCATTACACGTGGCAATGCCCGAGGGCAATTTTGTCTAGCAACTATGCGACCTTCTTCTCCCCTGAATTTCTTTCCTCAAACAATCACCGAATGGAACATTATGTGGAGGAAAAAATATGGACTCAATTGGGAGCCCCAAATCTTCAACCACAAATCAAAGATATTAGGAAGGCCGTATTTTTCCACAGGGATCTGAGCACTATTTTTCCATTTCCAAAAGTAATGTTCCGCTAATAACAGTATGCATATTAAGAAGAGCCGTACCAGTCCAAGATTATCAGCTAATACATCCAGCACTTGCTCAGCTCCGTCGCATCCGGCTGCTATGTGCAGAGGCGTCCAGCCCCCAGGGCCTTTGACATCAGTCTAAATACATAGCAGATTGGACTGACCTAGGGCAGGGACAAGGCTATAAGCGGGACTGTGACCCGATGCGAGAGGCAGAAAGAGTAGCCCCTCATTCAGGTGATCCGGCCACGCGACAGTCCGGCCACGCGAAAAGCATCCAAAACAATTCTCCAGTCTGGGAACTGGGCAGAAGAAAGAATACCAGCCTTCCCCGACCTATGACCATGACCACTCATTTCTTGTGGGTAAGCTTAGCGCGCCCCCCGATCCGGGCTGACTCTCTCCTTCTAGTTCCCCTCCCGCATTCTGGTATCTTAGGAGGGCTTCAACCATGGACCTACAATTTTGTCGAACAGCTCTATGGAGCAACCCATTTTCCAGCAGTGCATCTTCAATTGAAGAGCGCTTTTCTTCACCCATGAGTTTGTTGACCAGAACATTCAAAGCATCTAGACCACTGCACACCAGTCATGTTCGACTGAGAACTCTATAAGCCATCTGAAACGCTGGAAGGGAAATGTATCCAAGTTGGGATCTTGAAGACCCAATCTAAACTTCAACTTACTTCTACGGAGGAGCCAACCAATTTCATGTATGAAGTCCAGAGCTTGTTTGAGGAAAGAAATTCAGGGGAGAAGAAGGTCGCATAGTTGTTGGACAAAATTGTCCTCCCATTTTGCCACGTGTATAGCTGATTTCATAGATTAAAAGCAATTATCGATCAAATGGTGACGAATTTATTGATTAAGTTGTTTAGTGGCCAATTATTGACAAAAAATAGTTCGATGGCCAAAACATGATCCCACCAATATTTTAATGGCCGCTGAGGTTTTTTGCCCTAGAATGATTGATAAATTGAGCATGGAAAATGATAGAACATGACTATAACGCATAACAATTATGAGAAAAGATATCCACCCCAAGAATAATTCAATCTGAACCTCCCAGCTTCACATATGATTCAGATGCATAACAATTTGTGTTGAGAAGGAAATAGTAAAAAAAATAAAAGAAATTGGTAAAATTAACAATTTCAACACCCGCCAGAAACTTCATGAAAACCACTAAATAGCACATAAATCAGAAATTTGAAATTCAAAGTTAAGGTAATCTAGAAACATGACTGCAAAATAAAAAGAAAAGACAATAACCTGAAAAGCTAAATCTTTCTCCTCCTTTGAGTATTTCCTTGTGATTTTCCTCAACCTATCAAATAGGCAGCAATCTAAGATTATGAGGAGCAGCAAAACTAAAGAAGCAAGCCAGAAATTAAAAGGTTAAGAAATGAAAAGGAAGCAGAAACTTGAAGGTCCAATCTAATGTAAAATTGGAAAAATGACAGGGAAATAAATCAAAAAAAATTCACAACCTGAAAAGTTAAATTTTTTTCTCCTTTCAGTAGATATTCCTTTCATTTTTTCAAACTGTTTTCACAGTTGAATACTATAACGTTGAGATACCAAGAACCATACACTACATACACTAAAAAAAATGACTTCACCAATAATGACTAACCATAGAAAAAAGGGCTTTAAAAATCTCATTTGGCAAATTCACATACAAAGGAAATAAAAGCACAAGTAAGATATTGTCAATAATATTTAAAAACCCTAAAAAAGTATAAACAAACAATTATTATCAGATCAAACTTGGCTGTTTTATCTTACAATTACTACAAGCAGAATTGACTACTATTGTAGGCAATGAACCATATAGTTCAATTGTCAACTCTGCTTTACCCAACTTGCTCACAAACACTTCTAGAACAAAGGCCATGTAATTAAATGATAATGCTCAAAATGTAAAAGCATTTGCTAAAAAATTGATCTTCTAGTTTTTAAAACATTAATGAGATGTTATCAAGATTAAGATGCAAAGAAGAAAAGTAAGTTTGTAAAATCTACCCATTAAATTGGTGAAACAAAATGTGCAACCTAACCATGTTATGATAATAACCAAAGTAATAGGCTCTTTGAAGAGCTAAGGGAACTGGAAAAAAAAGGAAGAACAGGCCAGAAAAGAAATTGCCCCAGTCCAAATCATCATTCAAGAGTAGAAAGGCAAAAAAAATTATAAGGCACAACTATTCAATATGTTATTTTTAACTTTCACAAGCAAATGTACATGTATCTATTCTAACTTCCTAACCTTCAACCAGCACCTTCTTGTTAAGGAAAACAATCTCTTCATAGAATCAAATAAACAAAAGAATGCAATTAGGAGATAATCTAAATATGTTAACTTTCCTATCAACAAATAAATTTAAGATTTTAGGGAAGGGGAAAAAATTCTGTTATTCAAGGAAAAAAAAACCCCGAAGAATACAATATCAGTCTGTTTACCACCATGTATGCATTATCTTCAACGAATGTCGCACTAGGAGTTATTAAGTGGTGATTTTTTTTTTATGGCATTCATTGTAAAGAAATTGCACATGAGCCACTGTAAATGAATCATTCTTTTTCGTAGGACCAATAATTAAAATAAGAAAGTAAACTATGAACCAAAAGGCAAATACATTAATAGATTGAAACTGCATATAAGCAAGCTAACAAATATATTTCAAGTCAAATATTAAATAATCCACAATAAATGAAAATTTCTTATTAAAAAATTCAGAGACTACAAAATTACAAGAATCTCACGGTAAAAGAAACATTAAGTAAACAACAGTACATCAAAAGACTAAACATACCTCATTAAGGTGAAAAAGGCTAAACATAGAACAAACTTAAGTAGCCTTAAAGCTAGTGAGCAGCTTCCCTCCTATCACTACCAGCAATAAGCTTAACACAAAATACCTATTAAAAACACCAGATCAGTTTTGGATACTCAAAAAAACCCAAAAAGAAAAAAAATTGCAATCATGGGCTCTGAACCAAGCATAAGCCCTGCATACATAAAAATCTTTCCATCTTGTACAGGATGATGGCACATAAACATTAAGAAACAATATCATTTTCCATTGAATGCATTCTGCACAGAATATTTGAAATAAAGAAATGGAGGAAGAAGTTAAACTCTGAAACCCAGACAACAAATTGAACAAAAGGTGAGATGGCTAAAAAAAAAAATCACAGTTAAGAGTTTGGCCAAATATACACGGTTTTGGCGGTCACTTTTTCCTCACTGTGTAACAGAATTTCTTGCACTGCACAAATGTAATTTGGGAGCAAGGACTTTTTGGAATTTGATACACCAGACATGGTAAGCTCAACAAAAAAACTCAATATTGCACTGAAGCAAATTACAGCATAAAAATTTTTGGTTCCCCAGCAAAACTCAGACACCCATAAGCCATTTTAGCAGTAAGTGTTAACCGCACTTGTAAATGCAAGTACACCACTCTATGCATACTCTAAATACAAAGTCACAACTACTGCAATTGAAAAGTAATGACAAAGGACATCTATTCCAAGCACAATTCAAACAGGATCTCCCAGTACCATATACAACTTGGCTGCATAACCATCCATGTTAAGAAGGCAATAGTAAAGATAAAAGGCAAAACTAAGAAATAATACCTATAGCTACTTTATGAAAACCAATGAATAGAATATAACTTGAAAGCTGAATTTCAGGTGATCTGCAAAGATACTTGGGGAAAAAAAAGATCACAACCTAAAAAAGTTAAATCTATCTCTTCTTGTGAATTTTTCTTGCGTTTTTCCTCAATCTACTAAACAGAAATCAAAATATGACATAAATGCAAAATAAGACTATTAGCAGCAGCAAAACTAAATAACTAAACAAGAAATTAAAACATTTAATCTTCAATGGAAAAGCCGAAAAAAAAACAGAAGGAAGCAGAAACTTGAAGGTCCAGTTTAGCGTAAAATTAGAAAAAAGGCTGGAAAATAAACTACAGAAAAATTCAAACCTTGAAAAGTTAAATCATTTTTTCTTCTTCCCTTCGACTTTTCTTCCATTTTTCCCTCAATCTATTTGAAGAAAAACGAGATCCCTATCTGCCCAATAGATAGCAGAAATGAGATCGTTAACAGCAGCAAAACTAAAGCACTAAACAAGAGATCCAAAATCAGAAACTTTTCTTACAAAAAAAAAAAAACAAAAGTTTGAAGGCCAGAGTAAAATTGGAAAATGTCTGAAAAATAAATTAAAGAAAATCGCACAACCTGGAAAGTTGATTCTTTTTCTCCTCCTCGTGGACTGAGTGGACTTTCAATCCATTGTCCTCAATCTATGAGAAACAAAATGTGATTGTGAGTAACTGCAAATTGAAGAAAACAAAGAAAGAAACAAAAACTAAACAAAAAAACATCAAGTGCCTTCTTTGTTTTCTTCTTATTGTTGATTAACAAAGAAAAGAAGAAAGAAAACATGTAGATGACTGACAGACCTGGTCATTGTTTCAGAGAGGGAGAGCAGGAGAGGAAGAGTCTTCGTCTGAGGCTTGAGGGAGACCGAGATAGAGAAAGCGAGATGGGAAGCAGTGGTAAACATCCGTCATAGTACCTTCTTTTTTTTTTTTTTTTTTTTTTTTTTTTTTAAGGCACAATGGAATCCAAAGTAAACTCACTTGCACAGACTTTTGGACGAACACTCTCTAGCCAATAACCATAGGCCACATCACCAACACAAGCACCTCTTTTGAGCCATGGCATTCGCTCTTTTATATATATGTTAATGACAATATCATTTTAACCAACACGTTATGAAACACCTATACTTTATTACACAATCATTAAACGAGTCTTTGATATCTCTACGAGCTTTGATACTTCAGCACCAGGTCTATCATATTTTAACAATATCACCACCCAATTAACCATTTTAGATCACATGTGTCCTTAGTATAAACACCAAATCGCTTAGATATTGAAGCAGATGAGCTAAAATTTTATTGAAAAGAAAAATCTAGAATTCGTTACAGAGCCAATGACCTGTAGTTATTGCTTACTAAACTGAATGTAGCGAAGAAGTATTAATATCAGAAGAAAAAAATAATGAGAAAAAGGAGGAGGTGCAAAAGCATGACCAGACTGTAATCTGTACATGGGTATGCTATTTAGCATCCTTATACTATTTGGCACTTGAGCCTGCCTAGGACGACAAAGAAGACTGGGATGTTGCAGCTGAAGCCTTGCAAATGGGACACCAATTCTTCAACTGCAACCACTGCTGTATACATGCCACGTGATAACCATGTTCACATCCCAGTTTCCCAATTTCATCTCCAACTGCATACTCTTCCTGCAAAGTAGATGCTTTTCATCAATGTTTCTGAGTGTGCATGGAAAGAATTCAAGTATAACCAATAGATGGGAAACAATTCTAGCAAATCAAGAAAATCATCCACCATAGGAAAACACAGATGAGGCATCAGATATTCTGCAGGCATTCAAATAGGCCTAATTCTAAACCAGGAAACTTGTAGCATTATCAAATTTGTTGTGAGCTATTTATCCATCATTGTTGGAACAATCGAGAATAATGCATCACAGAGAACTGGTTTCACCCAGTGCCAATCTCAATAAATTATACATAATATGCACAACCAAATTGATGCAGCTGAAACAGAAGGCTCATTGTCATCATCAGCTAAGTTGAATTTGAAGCAAATTTACTGAGGTTCACCCAGAAGAGACACAGGCAAGCATGCACACACATTTAAGTCTTCACAATAAACATTCTCTTTATTCATCTTTGGCCTTCCTTTCTTTTCTTCCTTTTTTTCTTTTTTTGGGGGGGGGGAGAGGTGGAGTACCGCATTTGTCCGATTTATATTCTGGTCCGTTTCTTAGGGAATTCATTTTTTCAAAAAAAAAAAAACCTACTTCCACTAGAGCTCTTTTTAGAAATACTGGCCAACATTACCAACTTAATCCAAGCTTACCTTAAAATCTCTCATCTAGGATGAGCACTGATGGTAATTCTATGCTAAAGTTAGGCTGCTTCCATTTTGAGGGCCAACAACTTTTTTAACGGTAACTATAATTCCAATCAAAGCACATCCAAACCAAAAGCATAATTTCTAAAGCATATATTTGGTAATGAGGACACCACCTGGCAAATACTGCATTTAGTATCAGCTTCATCCTCACTACATCCAGAGGCCCCAACATCTACCGTAGCAGTCTGGTACATGCTTTTCGTGATGCATTTAGCAAATGCCTCTTCCGAGAGTGCTGTGCTCACAGTACCCATCCTCTCCTCTAAAGCAAGTAATTCCTGTCAAAAAGGAATACAAAAATAGTCGAGAAGTACGAAAAGAGGGCATTGTACATCAGCAGCACCAATTTTATAGCCAAGAAACAAATGAGAAAACTTTCATGAGTAACAAAAAAATGCTGATTTAAAAATCAATTGTTATAAATTCAAGTTCGTACGATCTGGTTAGCCAGAAAAGGAATAAAAAGTAGTTAGAACAATATTGTACTCAGTGATTCCAATCTATTGCATCTTATGATAGCCTACCTCATATGACATGTTATCAATATCTAATCTCATATCTCTGTGCTGGTCGTAGAAGCTCAGGTGGCCAAGAAATAAATCGTTCTCCAAAGCAAGTAATTGCTGAGTCAAATGGATAAGAAGTAAAGTCAACATACAAATGCCAATCTGCACAAATCATAAAGTTACCAAAGATTGAGTACCTCATAGTTCAGCTCTTCATCCTGCCCAATTCTCTCAAGAGCTAATAGTACCTGCACCAACAAAATAATACAAGTTACACAAAATTGCCAAGGCAAGATCAAGAAAACAGAACTGAAGTATTGAGTTCTCTGTTAATCACATAAGTGACAAAGGAGTGTAGTTCTTCAGATGAACCAGAGAAGTACCTCAGCAACTCCATTCAGGTTATGTCGCCGGAAAGCATGAGTAATACCATGCTCTGTGGGCATCAAGGACATTATACCAGTTCCATTGCCACCAGTTCTCGCAGATAGTCCACAGGAGCTTGAAGCATTTGAAGAACCTTCTATGGAAGATTGATGTGATAAACTATGTAAATTAGCACTATTAGGAGTTTCAGGTCTAGATAATTGTGCAATACTGCTACTGGATTCACTGGTTAATAAAGCATTTCTGTTGTCAATATTTGAAAGCCCGATCCTAGTATTTGAGTTCAATGCCCTCCGAGTCCTCAGAGATGCAGTGCGAGAATCACTATTTGAAACCCAGCTTCTACCATGTCTTGAGCCAGTGACAGAAATTCCTGTATTGGAGGCGGCGACATGTCCATCTTCAGAACAAGCCATGTTACCTCTTTTTCCGGAAGAAGATGCACCAATTTGTCCTTCAGGACTTCTTTTTCTTAAAACATCCCTCTTAACCTTAGATTCTGAGGCTGAGCCACCTTGTGGGATAACATCAGATATGGAGTTGCATCTTAAATTTCTCAAACCATACCAACCCCCATTGTACTTCCTAGTCCCTGAAGCTATACTATTTGATGTAGAAATAACAGATGTAACAGAGGGACCAGGAAGAGGCTTTTGACAGCCAGATGGAGGCTTGTGACGAATTATTCTATGAGATTTATTATTTGATCCTGTGGTCAAACTCCCTACTTCTGTCAGTGTGACTTTACCAGCACTTGAATCTTGTAAATCAGGCTGATGTACTGTGTGATTCCTACTTACTAAAGGGATGTGTTCTGCAACAGCTGGCTCATAATGAACACCACAAGATTCTGCAGAATCATTGTCTAAGTTAGACGAAAATTTCCTATAAGAATCAGAATCATGTCGTGATTTTCTTCCATTAGTAATTGGAAAACAAGTCCTTGAGGAGCTCCCAGTGATCTGCTTGCCATTTGAAGAATGACAGGAAGGCCTTGAATTTTTGTATTTCTCAGCACAATTACTTTGATTACTCTTTCCATATTTAAGTCTTCCATTGCATCCAATACGATTGCAAAATTCAGCATTTTGATCTCTTTTATCAATGGCATCCCTGGAAACAAGACTAGATCCTTTTTTGGGGACAACCGCCCCAACTCTGTGTCTCCTACCAGAAAACTCATCCATCTTACCTTACTATCTACCCTTATTCCTGTATGAGCAATAACATATTGAAGAAGTCAAGACCTTCATATAGGTTTGACATCTAAATTAACATAAAACCAGCTCCCTTACAAGCGAAAAGAGATTATTGAAAAAAAAAAAAAAAATTGTAGTTGAACAGCATTTAGACAAGTATTAAAACAATGAATCGTGGTTAACCAGTTTACCAATGACAAAGATAGCAGCAATTAATTCCAGCAAAGTTAAGCTTCAAATTATCGAGTAACAAAAACTAATGTACTCTATAAGTAGATTCCAGATTAAGTTCAGGAAGCAAGCATCTCATATAAGAAACTGGAAGTAATTATGTACACTCAGAGAAATTCCTGTTATAATAAACATGAGAAGTCATATTCAATAGAAGGGAAAACATAATGATAAGCATCACTCATCTTCAAGAGGGGAGCAACATTGAAACAAAAAAGACAGGCAGAAATGCCAATGGTGGGAAAAATTCACATAGTATTATTGCTCAAGAAATCAGTTTAGCCAATGATATATTGTGGTTCACATGACATTCTTGGGTATTCATAGGCACCTAGAGGAAAGTTCTGGATAAAGACCCCAATCAGACATAAAACGATAATTATCATTAATTAGCTAAATTCTTTTCCTACATTAGTAACAGCCAAATTACCATAAAGGAGCAGGAAAACTCAACTCATAAATTGCATCCTAGTTGTGGTTTTACTGCCTAATAACTGTGGGGAGGGAAGGCAATTCCACATCACTAGAATAAGATAGTAGGGCTGAGCATGTAAATGAGGTACGTAAACAACAAGGGAATCCATCTTCCATTAAGGTAAGCCAGAGTTCAGGTAACATAAAGGCTCACTGGAGATCTATTCTTACGATAGCAACAGCACAGATCAAAGCAACACGGCAACTAACAGTACTTATATATACAAAAGGCAAGATCTCCTCCAAATGAATTGAAGAGCTTAAACACAAGAAATTCCTGTAGAACACACAGATATGGAAATCATACAGCAACCTTCATTTTCCTCAAACAAGTAGATAGATGCAGTTTCCGGAAAAAGAAAGTTGCAGACAAATATCACGTAATACACAAACAAAAGTGGCTTATTAGAGAACACCTCCATTACGATTAGTAATCATATGATTATAGATACTCAAATACAAAAGCAAGTCATATAACAATCAGCATACTGCAAATGCTGTTCAATTGAATGACGAAACCTGTAAAGGACAGAAAAAATGAAACGAAAAGAAAAAAAAAAAAAAAGGATGGTCAAAGTACAAACTTTCCACAAAATATGGCATCAAAAGCTCTTGATTATAAACAGAAAAAGTTTCCCACCAATTTACTCTTTAACTAAAGCAAATAAAGTTGGCTTCTCTAAAATCATCCTATTACCAACTTATTCAACAGAAAACCAAGTAACCCACATATGTTGCATTAAAACATCAACCATCAAATAACAATCAAGACAAAAACCAAATAAAAAAATCAAACAAACGAAAAATTCGTATCTTCATAGGCCAATCTTCAAGTAAACATTACTAAAGAAATCAATTAACAGAACTAACTCATAACGATCAATCCATTCCAACTTTATTTGATGGAAAAGAATAATTTAACAATACAGACTAAGGACTAGATTCTTTTCCCGTTTTGCTCATCAGAAACCCAAATACAAAACAAAATTTCACATACGAACGAAGACAAACAGAGCAAACCCATATCAGAACACCCAATAAAAACCCAATTGTAGCTGCCAAAAATTGGTACCGGGTCTTTACTGGTTAATCATCTGAATAAAAAATAACAAACTTTTCGTTCTCTACCTTTCTTGTTATGAACTTATGATCACTGAACACTATGGCAAGAGGAGAAGGCCTTTTTTTAGCGTTTTATTAGAGAGAAAGAAAGGGAATAAAAGATAGGAAAGAAACGTGTTGAGTATGCAACGATCCGTCCTCCAAGGCTAGAGGAAGGCTACTACTCTTTTAAAAGGAGAACCAGAAGAAAGAAGTCGTAGTTATAGCTAGGTATATAATTGAGCCGAGTTGACCTCGAGTATTGATATATTCATGCTCGACTCAATCTATAAATAACTTGACTCGAGTTCGATTAAGTCGAAAAATCTCAAACTCGAGGTTGACTTGAGGAAATTTTTAAAAGCTCGAGACTCGACTCGATAAGGCTCAACCTTTAGTCAAGCCTTATCGAGCCGAGTAATCAAGTTTTTTGACTCGATACCTTACTTGTAAATTCAATATAAACTATACTCATAACGGTCATTTTATAATTATAATACATATATATTATTTAAATTATATGGCTCGACGAGTAGCTCGTCGAGTCACGAGCTGCAAAATTCTGACTCGAACTCGACTCGAATGTGTACTCGAGTAGCTCGAGACTCGGCTCAAACTCAGTTTGACTGAGTTCAAGCTAAGCCATTGACCAAGCTACTCGCGAGCTACTCATGAGTAGCTCGGCTCGTTTACATCCCTAGTCATAACCCGAGTTAATTGTAATATACCCCTTGAAATATCACAGGTTTGTATTTTATGCCATGAAATATTAACTCTATACGCATTATGTAAAAACAGTGTGCCACTTGGTTCAACTGGCAAGGCTAGTAGAAGTTCGGATTCAATTTTACATCCAACAGCCGCTTATCAACATATATAGAATAAGAGCCAAGGAGTGGTTTAGGTATAAAGTTTTCGTCGGCCCTCGTGCTGGTCACATGCTCTTTAGCTGAGTTTCGTGGTACGATGGCATTTTGTATTATGGCTGCTGAATATGTTCTTCTAACCCTTAGTCACACTCAAGCTTTGAGGCGCCGTCTCTCATCTCCTCCTTTCCTTTTCCTCTCTATTTTCTTTCTCCATTCCTCTAGGGTTAGATACACATCTTCTCCTCAAACTCTCTCCGTTCCTTTCCTCTTCCTCTCTTTCTCTCTCCTGCTCTTGTTCGTATTTATTCTGCATCTCCCAACCTCTGAAACTTTTCTCTTCGGAATCTCTTCAAGCTTCTAAACAACCTCTAGACGATCGAAGATCCACACAAGTGTAGATTAGTAGTTCATTTTGGAATATTATTACTTGATTCAATGCCACCCCTGATTTTGTTTCTCTTAACTTTTGCCAGTGATTTTCCTTTTTTCGTTTGATTTTACTTTTCTTGTTGGCTTGTGAAGGCCACCAAATTTCTCATTTTCTCTTAAATGTGCTTTGATTGAGGTTTTCAGTGAAACATATGGGTCTTAGCAGAACAGAAACATTAACATGATGATTTTATCATGGCTATAACAAATCCTGGAATCATCTTGTAAAAGCAAAATTTGTTGTCCATGGGATTGACTACAAAGGCTGTGGAAGGTCGTTGGCTTATCATGATGTATTTGGCATTTCTTTATTTGATTGAGCTTTTCTTTTTGTAGAATCTTCTAGGAATTTAGTAAGAAATATAAATCTGGTTGTTCTTTTAGCTTTTGGATGGAAAGATATGGCTTCTGAAGTATCTTTTGTGTGTACACCCAAAATGTGTCATATAATTTCTTTAGCTGATTGGTGAAGTCTAAATTTTGATTGGGATTTTTTTTTTGGGTTGATTTATGCTATTTTTCTCGCCTCCAAGATTTCTGGCCTATGACTAGATTCTTTTCAAATTACAATTGTGCAAGTAATGCCCTGTTTTGCTAAAGTTGGGTAAGAATTGAAGAATACCACAGTAATAATGGTGGAGTAGAGTGAAGTTTTCAATACTCTAGGGGTAGAGAAGCAGACAAGAAAAAGAGCTTTTTGATGCCCTTCGATAACAACTTGAGTAAGCTTTCAAGTTTACTTTTTGTTTTGTATGCCTTTTTATGCTTTTAAGACTCAAATTCGATTAAAATTTGATCCAGTAGTTTGAGTTGCTTACTGTTGTTACATGTACCTAAGGTTTATTAGAGCTTCAAAAGCTGTGGTATTGTTGCTCTTTTGGATTTTGAGTAATTATGGTCTTCAATTTTATAACACTAATTTTTCATGGCTCGATTTGAAAGTCGCTTAAAACCCGTTAAAGATACCTACTTTGCAGACGTTGTTCATAGGATTAGCATACATTTGAAGTATTTATCAAGATGTGAAAGAATTCATTTATCTTTTTCTATGAAGTGCGCTTGATTTTCTATAACTCTGTATGTTTGTGTCTGCCTATGCATTGGAAAAAAAAGGAAATATATGGTACCTTGGTTGTTCTAAGTATGTCTTCAACTGCGGTGAATTAAATGCTATAGGTTCTTAGGGCTACGAGCTTGGATTTTGGTTGTCTTAGTAGCAGAGTATATTAGCCTCTATATTTCACTCCAGGCAGAGAGTAGAATGGAATCATATCAGATTGATATAGGGTACAAGAGAAGTATTCTTTACTTGATGTCATGGTGCTTCCTATAAACAAATATGAGATACTGTCAGAAGAGAAAACTTCTGAAAGAAGGCAAAAACAATCAATTATGGAGAAAGATATTGGAATGATTTTAAGTAGTTGTCTTTGTGCTACTCATGATTGAGGTTGGAAAGGAAAACTTTCATGGTGGGGACAGAGGATGTTGAATGGGTTTGTACTTGCATTCGACTTTATAGTAGCGAATAATGTTAGGAAGCATGAAGTATGTCTTCAATACTTTTAAATTGTGCAAAGGGCTTCTATGTGCTTGTTAGCCTGGGATTTAAGTTGGTCTTTTAACTTACAAAGAAATAATTGCTTTTACCAGTTTTTATCTTTCCAAATACAAATTGATAATCTTTTTATTTATTTCATTCACTACCTTAATTTTTTTTTTCAAATGCCTATGATGTTTGGTTCCTACACTTGTAGATCCTTTCAAAATTTGCAGATCCAAAGCTACATAAAAAGAAAGCACCTGTTATGACTATCACACTGGTATAACTATTTGCTTCCACTTTAAATTATAGTAGTAGCTAGAGTATTACTTGTTTCATTTGTTTGCCTCCACTTGGAAAGATAGTCCTTTTGTCATTTGGATTCTGAAGGTCTAAAGCATCCAAGTATATTTGGCTCATATTGATGAAGAAATTCTGTACAAAAACCTAAAAATTAGAGCTTGGAGTTTAGGAACATGCAACTTGATCACAAAGATGGGAGTATTTTAATCATGATCTATTTGTACTTGGTTGCTAAAGTTTAGTGTCTTGTTCTATTGCTAGATTCTAGCAATCAAACACGTTGGTAAAAATCATTAAGTTGATAGAAATCAAACAATTTTGGACATTGTTTACAAATCTCTTTCTTTTTTATGTTCTAGATTTTGGCTCTTCTTCCAATTGGATTTGTAGTTTTCTTGGTTCAATTGGCCAGCATCCTTGTTACAGGCACTGGCATCGACCCTGCAAGAAGTCTTTGTGTAGCCATCATCTTTAATAGAGACCTTGGATTAAATGATCATGTATCTGAGCCTATAATGATTGTGTCTTCATTTTCCCGGTATCTATTCATATTTTTAGCTAAATAACTATTTTCTCTCTGGTTTTCAGTGGTCTTCTAGGTTAGACCCTTCATTGGAGCTGCTCTTGCTGCAGTGTATCATTAGATTGTGATCAAGGCCATTCCTTATAAGAGCCAGGCTTAAAAGGGATCAAATTTTTTGGCCTTTTAGTGATCCTCATCTTGTTATCTATACATTTACTAAATGGACAAAGATATCATCTATCAATTTTTCTTCTTTTGTTGTTCTCTTCTTTCTCTGTTCGGTCAAATGTTTGTATAAATAATCAGTGTATGCTGTACTGAAGCATGTTCCAATTTTAACCTTTGAATGAAGGATTCTTCTTTTGTCAATTCAATTTATATTTTCATATTGTGGTATAATCATTCTGGCCAACAGGGTATTTTGTTATTTGGGCTTAGGTATATTTGCTTCAATCTTTATTGCTTGGGCTTGGCAAAAAAAACTGTAATAATGCAAAAGACATTGAAGGGGCGTATGCTTGTGTGTCATTGTCCCTACTAATAAAGTGAGGGGATAAAAATAGTTGATAAGGTGGATAGAATTCTGTGAGTGACAAATGCCACTTTGCTACAAATCATGATTTCTGCAATGGTGAAATACTATTCTCTATCCACCAGGCCATGACTTCCTTCATTGTACTTCATTATATTCAACTTTGTGTATACATGGCATTTCGCATTTTTCATTTAAATTTAATATCAACCACCATCTTCTACTTTGAAGAATTAATCTCCCTATGCACCTTATTTCTGCGATATTTGTGACGACTTGAAAATTCACCTATATTTTTCTTATACTACCCTTTTATTTTGAATAAATTACTTTATAATATATTTACTCCTAAATTACTCCCTCCCTAGTTGTAATAAATAATAAAATCGAGAGTTTTATCTTTACTTTTTTAGTTAGGGTAAACTAGGGTTTTTGTGTATTTTGGCCGTGTGATCACTTGGTGAGGTGTGTGTACTAAATTTTGTGGTTAAGAGTGAGTTTTAGATAAGAGAATGTGTGTGATTAGAAGTGCTATTAATAAATTAGTGAATCATAAGTTAAAACACAAGTACGAGCGAGTTAAGGAAAATAGGCTTGAATCGACGTGTACCGTTTGTTACTGATTGAGTATACCATTTGACCACTACTTTCTTACTGTAATCTTCTTGTTTTTATTTCACCTAATCCTCTTTAAATTACCTCTTAATCCAGCCATCTTTGTTGACTAAGTAAAAGAAAAGAAAAGGAAAAAAAGAAATAAAACTTGGCTTTGATAAGTGTCAAAGATCCAAGGGTTGGTTGACCAAATAAGTTTTCTTTCTTCTTATCTTTCTTCTTGGTTCATTTTTCTTCATTCCCTTCTTGTGTTAGCCAAAAATTGGGAGGGAAAAACAAGAGAGAAAACCTCTAACTCCAACCTTGAATCTTGCCTTGTCTGAGTTGAAACCACAAAACTAAACTGATTAAACTAGCACCAAGGAACTAAGGAAGCTTGTTGTGGAGTTGTTTG